TAATAATAATAATAATAATAATAATGATAATAATAATAATAATGATAATAATAATAATGATAATTAATAATAATAATAATAATAATAATAATAATAATAATAATAAACAAAAGTTGAAGATTGTTTTTAACACTAGTGATAATGCATGCCAGGTTACTATTTATTCAACTTCAGTGAATTTGTGATTGCTTTTCCTTAATCTTCACTTTAGTATCATATACCTCCAGCACCCAGTGATTTTATCCTTAGAGCTGCATTTTATGTAACACCCGAGAATAGGACGAGAATATTGCGTTTTTATCGAAAAGATATATGGAAACGCATCGAAATTCACAGTTTCCATTTACTGTTTGAGAAAAGGGATTTGAAGAAAATTAAAGGTTGTTTTATCTGTTACTTTGTTTTATTTTTTCTTATACGATATTTCGATGTTCTTTACTACTTAACGTATATACTTTACACATCAACTACTTAAATTTGGATGTAATGTCTTTATATGTTTTAAGGAGTGATGAAAAGTACGGTTGAAGCACAGGTTCGGTTTCTACCGAAAAATTCAGGTACACGATCATTAATCGTGCCCACAGGAAAGAACTTTTTGAGACGGTATTCAGTGATCGCATTGAAAATAGTCTCTGTAGTTATTGATTTAGTATGTGCAAAGCAGCGCAAATATTCCAGGGAACTTCCGCTTACTGGAGCTGCTGTTTGGAACGGTATGTACATAAATTTCCCTCTCTCTGCAAGGCATACGCAAAATTTCATTGAGTTTAATATTTTTCCAATTTCATGTATACTTTGTCGCAGTATACTCGGCTTACTTGTACTGGCGTTTCCATTGTTGTGATAATTCATCATGACAGAAAGTTATAATGCCGCAGCCTGATGTCTAAAACTTCGTATTTATTCGGTCTTAGCATTTTTACTATTCTTTGATGATGAATGAGCAATTTATTCAGTCCTGAAAAAAGTTTCCATCATTTTAACATAGCTTATTCTACTCCTCATTTGAAACTTATGTATTTTCTCATGTTTCCATTTGCATTTTCATTTTAGGTATTGGTGTATTTCCCAAACGTTTTCGACGTTTTATGCAAATGAATGAATCGGCGAGAATTTATGCGGTGAAAACAGATGTTCGAGACTGTTTCGATTGTATCAATCAAAATATCTTGCGCTCTGTACTAAGGAAACATATCTTGTTAACGAAGTACGCGTTTAAATTTTATTGAGTTTAATGTTTTGGCAAGGTCATGGATATGCTTGTTCATGATGCAGTGTTGCGAGAATACATTTGTGCTTATGGTTCTGTGGAATTCCTCCCGTTTTTGCTTAGTCAGTTTCATATTTCTAGCTGTTCTCGGCTCTATGTTTAATCCGATTATGTATATCAAATGTTTTTCCTAAGTCCATGGAGATGAACAGATTAGATTGCAGACATTTTCGATTAAGTGCAAATCTGATTGGGATGAGTTTTCTGATTTCCGCTCGAAGTTGTGGTTTCGGATGTGGAATTGATGACCATAATTGCAACCTTCTCGAAGTAAAGCTCATTTTATCTAGCGGTTTTTCTTTAGGTTGTACCAATATCTCATTTTATGTTCGGATTCATATTATTTGCAGCTTTGTGTAACGGGTGAGACGGTCATGTGGTTTCTTGAAACTTATGTCATCAATAAAGAAGTATTTTTTCTTTTTCTTCTTTAAATAAGCAATTAGAGCTCCATAAAACCTCCACGAAAAAATATGCTTTCTGAAAAAGACTCATTAGTACCCGGGACTATTTATACTTGGTTTTTCAGTTTCAATATCGCAACGGTGTGTATCGTGCTTTTCGTGGTATACCACAGGGTAACCATGCTTCAACACGTTTGTGCGATCTTTACCTGGGTGCAGCAGATTGCGAAAGGTATTTTGAACTGATGAAACGACGCGATACTTTACTCATCCGTTATGTAGATGATTATCTGTTACTTACAGCTGATAGGAATATTGCATGGAAGGTATTTAGCGACTTTTCCTATGTTGTTTTATAATCAGTTGGAAGCGAGGTTGCCGAAAAAAGTAGTAATTTGTGAGGAATGAAAAAAGAGGGAGAGATGGTTTCAAAGAAACACCATTCGCTATATAATTTGCATTTATATTAATCAAGTAATTTTAATAGAAGAAAGTAATTACCCTTCTCTTAAGTTTCTGGAAGTGATGCATCTCGGAGCAGATGACAATTATAACATTATTGCTGATTCTACGAAGACAGTAATTAATTTTTATTGCGAACGCAATGAGCTGCTTATTTCTGGCAAAATGGTCGGTCCATGTAGCGCAGTACCGTGGTGCGGCTATATAATTTATCCGGGTTTAAGAAGGGTTGCTAAATTTGATTTGCTTTATTGTGTTACATTTTTTGAATGATAATTTCTCTTTTGGTCTGTGCTTCAAAAAACTGTAAAAATAGTGTTTACATTTGGTGATTGGCACTATTCACATGATGTATTTTATAGTATTGCATCGACTGGGCGAAAATACATTCTGAAAAAGCAATTTCATGTCGAATTGTGCACAAGATGGGTTCACGCAAGAAAAGGATTGCGGTTTTGAGATTTTTAAAGGCATCGCTTCTTGAAAAGTTTGTCCGTTTTTTAAACTTAACATTATGTTTTAGCAAAGAAGACATAAGCAAGAAAGTCCTGCATTCTTCAGGTACAAAATGATCCATCGTTTTCCTTCTGGCAAGTGGAAGATTAGTGTTTTAAAGAAGTTTGCTGCCATTGGTACAAAATTATATGCTCGTCCTTATGCCAGAAAAGTCCGTCTTTCCGTAAAGGTTAGGAAAGTGAATTGTCAATAGAAATGTCTCATCATTGATTACTCCATTTTGTTATCCAGACTTCACAGATACTATCTGTCAGTTTTAATTTTTTATAGGGACGTTGGAATCACGTATTTTGGCAGAAATTACGTGCTTGGCTTCGACAAGGATTTACATATTCATATAATACAAAATTGGCCCATTTGTACGGATGAAACAGTTTGCGAATGTGAAATAGTGCTTTGCTGCCATGTTCATGCCTTTCATTTATGGAACAGTATTTGTCAAAATTTTTCGAATGAGACGGAACTTTATGAAACTGTAAAATTAGAGTTTGGAACTGATGTTGATTTCGTTACAAACTATTAAATCAAATCACTTCAAAGTAGCACACACCTCTCCAACTGAGGCTTCGAGCCTTTGATATGTCTTCCCGAGTTTTCATGTTTTCCAAATGTGAGAATCTCACTGTGATTGAAAGTTTCTAGTACAAATACAATCGTATTTATTCCAGGAATCATCCGATTTGTTTGGAAAGGGTTTTCCCGTGGCTAAAAAAGGGTTTTTTTTTCTTTTTTGTTTGCAATGGCAAGGAGTTTACATTCCTGACTGAAGATTTAATGGATTTTTAAGAGTGGAGTTATTCTTATCAAATTTCAGTTCTGCTATAAATACCTTTCTAGGGTTGTGACGTTTCTATTTTACTGCAATATCTACATTATGAGCTGCGTAAAACATGTTGCTATTTACGCACTTTTTTCCAGTATATAAATCTGCACACATCTGAATTGAATGAGCAAATTATATCTCTGAATTGGGATGCTTGATGAAGAAAGCAGTTTATTCGGGTCTGAAGACGAGGATGATGACGAAAGGCGGAGGGATGATCCGGAAGACAAGAAGTACCTCTTTCGGAAGGAGTTTCGCACTATGATTTATGGTTTTGGCGATGACAAGGTATATATTTTGTCCTAATTATATATATACGCAGTGATTCTGTGCATAAAAGTATCCAACGACATGTCGCCATCTTACGTTGTCAGTGAAGCAAATCCAGCAGATGATCATGGTTGGGTCACAAGTGTGTACTACATAACCGGGTATTTAAGCCACAGCAAGCCGAATAGTGATCGAGAAATAAAGGATGTGCTGTATTGGGTCCGGTGATGTTTTTATGCTACACTGACTTGAGCGGTAGATCTTTCAGTGGCTTATTTCAGGTACCCTACGATAAAACCCTGGAACTTTTGGAAACGATTGTAACGAACTACATACAGCACATGTGTCAGCGCGCTTTACAAATGGGCAAACCGGGCAAATTAGCTCTTGAGGATATACATTACCTGATTCGACGGGATGTTAAAAAATTTGGCCGTGTCAAGGATTTACTGTCAATGAGTGAGGAACTGAAAAAAGCTAGGAAGCAGTTTGATGAAGCAAAGGCAATATAAATTTTTTTATTACGGGGAAATTCTTAAAAGCTAGGTGAACCAAAGCAGGTAAACAGTTTAAAAAGATATAAACCTAAAAGTTGTGAGGCACACTGCTAGAATAAAAAGTGAGAGGATACTGGTTCTCGGATTTGCGGTTAAAAGTAATCTATGAAGAATTACGGGGAGAAAATATTATAGTAGAGAGTGCATTTATGGTGACATCAAACAGCATAGTAACAGTTTATGAATGAAAATAAGTGTTTAGCATAGCAAACTGTAAAGAAATTGACTATATTACTATTACCATTATCGTTTTAAGTCTTATGCGTTTGCTGTTTTGAGCACGTTTCACACTGTTTAGTATTACGATAAATGATGGTCTGACCAGAAAAAACAAGCGTCACCACGTCGCACATTTATTAATACCGCATTCGCTTAGCCCTAGAACTGTTGAGCAAGAGGTATATTTCCTACAATAATTTATCATTGGCAACATCAAATGTGAAGATATTTAAATTAGTGAGGCGTTGCCACTGCATTCATATAGCTGAAAGGATTTCATAGCGAATAAAAAGTAATAAAAGCGCTCTTTAAATATCACCAATTCCAGTTTTGTAAGGACGTAGCGTATGGCCCACTTCAAAAATTTGACCACATTGGCTTGCGAATCCATCTCAACCGCAAGCCGCTGTTTGTTCGGATTTTAATTGAAGCTGCTTCAGCAGCACGCACGGTATCTTTCACTGACTGCATCAAATTCTGCGCATTTAAAACAAGCTGTTGCATTGCTTCTTCGTCCTCTTCACTTCCTGCAATTGATAGGCTTGAACTGTGCTCATCAACGTTTATATGAAAATACCTATGAAAATGCCAAAATTTAAGCAGGACGTTCTCAAAGTAGATGCTACTTACTTTTTTTTTTTTTTTTTGCATGCTTTAGTAAAATGAGTGAACTCGGGATGTTGGATGTTAATATACATCAGTCATCTCACGGTTCCCCAAAACACGAGACTTTTTTGTTTCCATAAAACTTGTTAAGACACTCTCGAAACTGTTAGTAATAAAAAGGCATGCCACTAATTTTACCATCAATAGGTTGTCCATGAGGTCCGATTGCTGCTGAAAAAACTCGTAATGAACAATTCCAAAGTCTAGGATTTCGATAGAATCAATAAATTCTGGGTCATCTTAATCACCACCTTACGTTGCATTCCATTTTTGAATTGCTTGAGCTGATCAGTCATGTCTCCCCCACAATTTGTTCAGTGTACCAAATAAAATAACATTATGCTTTGGCTATCATGTCACAAGTTCGAGAAACATTCCAGAAACATCGCTGGTAGCTTAATTTGCGGATTCGAGTAAATCCGTGTTGGTAAGCCCTTCAAACACTTCTAGGAGGAAGCTTACCTTGAGATCCAAGCATTGTAGCTTTGACAGTTGAAAGGATTTTTAGCTGTGTTGCTATCGTTGGAATCCGTTCACACACTTGTAATAATGTCTAAAATAGTTTTTTTTTTTGTAGAAACGAA